TTATAGAATTTCATTTCTTTATATGCTCCATTCTTTTTATATAAAATTATATTAAAAATTAATTTTAAATGTAATAATTTCAGTATTTAATCTTGGTTTATATACATCACAAAATCATGAACCATCCACCATAGACTGGATTACAAAAAATTCGATCCCAATTTCTTCAAAAAAGGAAAACTTAAATGATACACAATTAACTTCTAATGTTTATGTAAAGTGGACAAATTTTTCTAAAAATATTAATTAAATTATTTGTAAAACTATATTTATCATTTGAATTTTCAGTATTATTGCAAGTGTTTTAAAACACTTAATAATATCATAATATCTATTTAAAAAAAATAATTATGTAAAATAGCAATTTCTATTAAATGTAAAATATAAAGTTCAAAATATAATGTATTTATATTAAATGTACAATTTGTTTATCAATAATAAAATTTATTTTTTAATATATATAATTAATAAATAATAAAATAATATTATGTATTATTACTTGTGGATTGATTAACTATATGTTTATTTTGTTGTATTTTGTGCCTGTTTAAAAAATTTTTGAAGGATTCAGCTTCTTTTCTTTCTTCTTCATCATCTTCTTCATCTTTAAATGGATTTTCTGTACCTTCTTCATCTTCACTTGATTCATTACCAGCATGTTTTAAATATATATCTGAAATTTCTCTTCCACTATTGATTGTTGTTATTAATGATATACTTTCTCCTGAAACTTCTTGACTTGCTTTTTCAAGTTGTTCTTTTTCTGTTTTTTGTCGTTGTGCGTCTCGTTTAATCTTCATTTTTTCCCAAATTTTTTTATATTCTCTTCAATAGAAAATTCGTTTTTTATATTTCATACTATTTTATACAAATATTTAATATTATTCATATTTAATTTACCTTTCATATTCTTCTTCAGCATCTTTAATAAGTTCAAGAAACTTAGTAATACCAGCTCCTGTTGCAGCAGAAACTCCACAACTACGTAAGTGACTATAGAATTCATCAAGTGCAAGAGCCATACTACGTGTTAAGTTACTAATATAACTTGTTTCTGAATCTAGAGCTTCTTGGAATGCTTCAAAATCCTGCATCCAGTCTACTGCATAACTATGTTCAACTATATCAATCTTGAAATTTATAATTATAATTATATTGTTAGATTAATTGCTAGATTAACTGCTTATATATTTTAATAAAATTGTTTCTTATTCAAAAAAAAAATCCTCGTAAAAATATATATTATTATACATCACATATGATATTATTTTTAAGAAAATTTCATTTATAATGTCATAATAATTACCTTATTCATAGCCACAATAAATGGTAATTTAGTCTTATAAAGTATAGAACATGCATAAAGCATGTTAGACATGAATGTTACAGGATTAACACTTCTTACAGTATCTAATATATATACTACAATTGTTGGAAATTGAGATGCTAAAGCTTCTGTTATAATTGTTCCACTTGCTGACCATGTAAAAACTTCTATTTGTCCAGGTGTATCCAAAATTACATATTCATGCTCTTTGCCTGCTTTATCAATAAGTTCTATGACTTGATCAAATTTTGTAGAAAAAAGATTTAATGCAGTAACAATACCACCATTAGGTCCTAAACTATATTGTTTCATTACTTCCTTGTAATTCACAGTATCTCTTATATCTAAAACATTAGAAATGTAATAAAACATTTATAATTAAAATACAATAAAAATATAATATATCACCTATGTTTGCTGGATAAGGAACTTCTTTACATGCAGGATCCAAATTTATTACATATGGTTTTCTTAATTTGTATAATACCGAAACAAATCTTTGTACAAATGTAGTTTTGCCAGATCCAGCCATTCCAAGAATAATAATACATGTTGGTTTTTTTTCTTTAGTATTTGATTGGGCAGATACATCAGTTTGCATAAAAGTATTGTGTTTAGAAGATTCCATTGATTCAGAAGTATCCATAGATTCAGATATTTTAAATTCTAATAATGAAATGATTATAAAATATATGATTATATAATATAAAAAAATTTAGAATTAAATTTTTAATATATTATAATATATTATTATATAATTATTATTATTATAATATATAATATTCTATTTTTTTTTTTTANAAAGATTTATTTTTTGCAGCGAGAAATTTTTATTAAAAAAATGAAATAAAAAATATTATAAAACAATATGTTATAAAAATTATTAAATCTTATTCTTATAAATTAAATTATATTTATATCATCATTATATTTTTATTTTATAGCGTTATATATATTGAATATTAATATATCAATTTCTAACCTCATTTTTAACTTCATTATTAAAGATTAAATGTATAAATTTTATGAAGTATAATCAATTAAATAATTAAAAATTATATAATTAATCTCAAAAAAAAAAATAATCAAGGACTATCAAATTAATTTACAATTATAATGTAATTTTAATACTCTATATTTGATAAATATAAACAGCATCTAATATTTTAAAAATTTCAAAATATAACTTACACATATATTAATTTTTTATAAATATTTTTATAAATTATAAGTATAATATAAACTTTTTACAATAAATGCTTTTATCGTAATACAATATAAACACTTTATCAATCATATAATTGATAGACATTAAAGAACCACTAGCGGTAAATAAATGAAATACAAGTTATTTATATATAAATAAATGGAAAAATTTAAAAATCCAAATTTTTTAGTAAATTTATTTCTGAAAATTTAAATTTTTAAAATTTTTAAAGAAATTATCTAAAATTTTGTTTATTTTTTTTTTATTTATAATTTTTTACAATAATGTAACTATAAGCTGCCAAAGGATTATCTGAATAAAATAAATTTCAAATTATTTCTTAAAGTTTATTTATTTATTTCTTATCCTTTAATATGAGTGTTTAAAAGTTAAGTACTAAGAAATTTAAACTTGAATTATCGAAAATAAATCAATATAAAAAATATTGCAACTTTAATTACTAGCTACTAAAATTTCTGATACTAATTATAATCTTATATACTATTATAATTATAATTATTTCAAGATTTCAATTTATATCAATTTATATCAATATATAAAATACGTCGATTGATTTTTACTATACCAATTATTTTTATAACAATGAATTATGAATAAAATGAAATTGTAAAAAATAATTTTCGTATTTTGTATTTTGAAATATAATATTTTATTGATTATTTATAATAATATTTATAATAATATTTACAAAATATAAAACAAAATATTTACATTTCTTATGTAAAAAACAGAAACTTAACATAATAATTATGTAGAATATATTAATTTAATAAATTTAATAGAATTAATTTTAATTTAAAAAATAAAATAAAAATTTTATTTTTTTTTAAATAATTTTTTTTAATAATATATAATAATTAAGTTGTTTTGAAATGATTATCTGTAAATGTACTATAAATATGTCCTTCATTTATAAGAAAATCAATTATATTATCTACATCTATATTCTTTGGCACACAAGTTTTGATAACATTTCTTTCTATTCCATTTTCACTATCATTTTTTGCTTGAATAATGTTAAAAATTATGCTTTGTTCTTTAGTTAATCCAATAAAGTTATCATCTATCATAAAAGCATTATCTGTATTAGATTTTTTATTTTGTTTATTTAACATTTTCTGAGATTTTAATATTACATAAGTCACTTCTAATAAATGATTAGTTAATTCATTTAAATGAATCAAAGGCCAAATCCTTAAAATTAATATATATTTCTTTTCATTTTGTTCCTTTAAATGTCCATATATTCGTACATAAGTATTTAAATTAATTAATGGCTCTGATATTTTTCCTGTTTCTAACCATTTGAAACTTTTGATGTGATCTATAAATTAATATATTTATTACTTTTATTTTTTTATATATATATTCGTATACATATATCTTATAAAAAATTATAAAAGTATGTAATTTTATTATTATCAAATCATTAATTAGAAGTAATATAAATAAATTATACATAATGATATAATAATAATATTATAATATATTAATAATATCATATAATATCATATAATATATTAATAATAAATAAAAATTAATTATGTACAATATAAATATTATAATTAATAAATAATAAACAATGATATTAACATTAATAATCTATTTGAGAAATAATAATTTACTTTGCAATTTAATAATGCAAATTTTAATTAAATATAATATGATAAAATATGTTTTGAATCTAAAATTTGAAAAAAATTACGAACAATTAAAGTAAAATTTCTATTCATATAGATAATAATTTAATATTTATATGAGAAATAAAAATTATATCAAAATATTATTTTTTTATACCTGTATCATCTTCTATTTCATATGTTATTTTAGTATTATTTCGTTCTATATAATTCACAATACCAACAAAAGTAAATACATGATTTTGTGAATCATTGTTAAATGATTTTATTTGTTGAATCATAACCGGAATTATTTTGACAATTCTTCTTGCAATTTTTTTACTTCCATTATTTAAATCACAATCATCATTCAAAAATCCATTAGCCGCAACATTAACGTTGGCCCACATTATTATTTATAATTAATCGAGCGTAAATTATAATGAATAAAATTTAATAATAAAAATCTCAATCAATATATTTAAATTTTATTTTATCAGATATTCTAATAATAATATTTACTATTTGTTCACATAATAAATATTAATTTTATTCGTGTAAATTTATAACGTATTTCTAATGCGTAATAAAAAAAACAAGTGAATACTCTATGCACGTACAATATGCATTTGCTGTCATGCTGGCACAGAAGTAAGAATAGTTTTTCTTTTTTTAACAAAAGATTTCCCTTCCTTTATTTTTCTCATGATATATAATATCTTATCTATGCCATTTACATTACATCTATCGCTTATTAAATAATAACCATGCTGGAATTATTGATTTTTTTATTCGATTTTTTCCACAATATCTATTTTTAATTTTTTAATTAATTAATAAAACCTCATGTATCTAAAACAAGGAGAATAGATACAAAAATGAGCAAATAATGGAAGAAATATAGAAACAGAATAAAATTATAATAATATTATTGTTAATATAAATTTAATATGTTTCAGTTCAATTATTCCATTTGGAAATGAATATAATTATATGTGTGTCAATTCTCTTTATCTTAATAAAATCATCGATATTCCTATGAAAGAAATTAAGAAAGTTCTGATGAAAAATACAGGTACTCACTCTAAAAATCAAATTTAAAAAAAAAATATGATGTTAGAAGTTTTAATGAAACTTTAAAAATTCATTGAGAAAAAAGATGAAAAAAAAAGATGTTTTAAAAATATAAAAAATATAAAGATGTTTTAATAG